GTCTTCTGGGAAGGGGCAGAGCTATTTTGAAGAGGTAAGGACTTAAGGCCTTTTTTTTGGCCTCACTTTGGATTGAGAAAAAGAGTCAGTGAAGTAATCCCAAAGAGGAAGAGCCAGGAGGGACCAGGAGGAACTTATGCTGAAGTCCTTTGCTCAGTTCTCTCCAGAAATTCCTGTGTGTGTGTGTGTGTGTGTGTGTGTGTGTGTGTGTGTGTGTGTGTGTGTGTGTGTGTGGTTCTCAGGTCCTTCATATGCCAACCTGGTGCCTTTTCCTCCCTACATCCCAGGCTTGGACTCAAGCTCTGTGGACTCAGATAGGAGATATTCATTCTATAAGAACAGACTCAGAAATAATAATACACTTTATACAAGCTTTTAATATTGGAAGATGACACTCATTCTCCCCAAGACCAGTAAACTGGGTTGAGTCCCTCCATGGGTCAACTCACCCACTGTTGATTTCCCCTTATAAAGAGGTACTTTCAGAAGATATCTTGCAACCTTGGTTGACTGCCAGATGCCTTCTGGTCTTCTCCTTGGGTTTCTATATAAAGTTTGAGGATGTCACTTTCATTTTCCTTATGAACTGCTTTGGGACAATTATTTGTTAAGCTAACGTGGACCAAAAAAAAATCCCCAGTCTGAGTGCAGTTTGTGTAATTAGTTAGCTTATTTCATAAGCAAACAGGAAAATTCCCAAACACATCCTCAAGTAGCCATTTCCCATCTAGGGAATTTCTTGTTTGGAAAACAGTTCAGTGCTGCCTTAGGCAATTGCTTCATATTTGACTATGGGAATAAACAGACATATTTCAATGCTTTACACCAAATACCTATTTATTGTTCAAATAACATGAGTACATGTATCTGTGGATATTCTTCCAGGCTTTCTAGGTTACGGCTTCAGGCTTATTCTTAGATGTGCATCACCTGTGTTTTCATTGTGAGTCGCAGTTAGAGAACCTGCAGAGGTGAACATAGGGAGGGCACACCATTTAAACATGCAGGTGGGAATTGGAGTAATGCTCGAACATACTAGATACTGCCCCAAGTCAGAGGTTAGGAGAAGCCTAGAGGAGACTCTTCTCACAGTCCTCGGAAGGACCCAGCCTTGGTGACACCCTGAACTCAGGCTCCTAGTCTCCAGAACTGAGGGACGATCCATTTAATAAGGTATCCTGTTTGTGCCACTTGGTTATTGTTGCCCTAGAAAGCTCATAGAGTGTTTGTGACAGGGTAGCAATCACTGCTGGCACATTCATCTAGCATGTTAGATTGGGACCGATGGAGGTGACGTGACTGAAAGGAAGCAGGGCAACCCTTTGCAGAGGCAGACTGTCCTTTAATCAGAACCATGGAGGGCAAGCTGTACAGGTGTGGAGGTTGTGCACTGAGGCATGGGGGACTTGGGGGTTTTACAGGGCAGAGAAGGGGACACCTGGGGTGGAAGATACTGTCTGTAGCTTTTGTTCCCCATGATGTCTCAAAGTTGTAAATGACAATGGAGGTTGGTCTGTTGACTCTGCCAGGAACTTTCAGGCTCCTACCTGCCTGCAGATGGTATCAATGGTCAATGTTCCTGTGGACAGTTTTTCAACTTTTAGGTCATTGTGTTTCCCAGGGGAACAAAGGAGAAGCCCTTGGGCCACAGCCTCCGGTTCTAAGAATCACTGGGACACCCTGCTCTGTCTTTAAATGCGCTTGTTTTCCTAGAGGCTAATCAGGGCTCTGGGGCTACCATGACAACAACAGATTTCCATTGTATTTGTCTGTACTTGTTTCTTTGAGCTCACCCACTTGAGGAAAGTAACAGAAATTCCAGTGATCTCCCCCCCCCCACCCCCCACTAGAACTGGGATAGACTTCTCTATCCTCATAAAATCTATTGCCACCATCCTAGGCTATCCTGGGCCGTGCAAGTGGGTCCAAAATTGTAATTCTGCCTTTTATTTATTCATAAATAAAAAATTAGAGATTCATATCTTCATTTTTTTTATTTGGCTTTGGAGATTTACTTCCTGATTTTCCTAAAGTTTTACCCAGCAAAGCATAACTGTCCATAGGGTGTGGTGGATTGAGTGAGAGTGATCCCCACAACTCATGTATTTGAACCCTTGGTCCCTGGTTGGTGGAACTGTTCGGAAAGGATTAAGAGGTGTGTCCTTGTTGGAGGAGATGGGTCACTGAAGGTGGATTTTGTGGTTTTAAAAGCCTCAGCATTCCTCTCTGTCTCTGTCTCTGTCTCTCTCTGTCTCTCTCTCTCACTCCTCTCTGCCTCCAACTTATGAATTTGGATGTAGACTCTTAACTACTGCTCTAGTACAATCTGCCTGCTTTTTGCCATGCTCCCCACTATGATAATCATAGACTGTAACTCATTGAAATTGTGATCCCCCAAATTAAATGCTTTTTTTTAAAAAAATTATTTGGTCATAATTTCTCTTCAGTGCAATAGGGAAAAAAACTAATACAGGTGGAGGTAACCAAGTTTGCAGGTGGCAGGTTAACAGAGTTGTCACTCAACACAGATCCTGGTCCCTTGCCTGATTCTGTCACAGAGAACTGGACAGCCTCTCTCTTCTCAGTAACCTGGTCTCCTTGCGTGCGTGTGGCTTTTTTTCTTGACTTCCCTTGTTTTCCCACTTCCAGTCTCAGTGGTGACTCTGCAGAGTTGCTTTCCACATTCTTCCCATGTGATTAGGGAGAGCAGTTAGCTTTCACTTCCACTCTACACTCTGGACAGTCACTGGATCAGGGGAGGATGCATTTCTCATAATCTTGTTCCCTCCACATATTCTGTCCTGAGTGTCTTTGACATGTCCTGTGTCCTTGAACCACAGTTACCATACATGTTATCATCTCACCAGCCTTCAAGCACTTAGGAGTGGGACCTGGTTGCCATTTGCATGGTGGTTGTGTAAGGAGTAAGCAAATGACTAAGTCTCGTGGGTTTTACTCAGGAGCTGCTGAGTCTGACTGGAGGAGGAGGAGTGAAGGGTATTTAGACAGCGTTGGGAGGCTCCAGAATGGAGACTCATTCTTTGGTTAGTAGAGCTGTCATAGATAGGAATGGCATGACAGATGAGTGTATATTAACTCTAGGACAGGGATAACATGGCAGATGAATGTATTTAAACACCAGGGTAGGGATAACACGGCAGATGAGTGTATTTAAACTCTGGGAACTCTGGACATCTTGCATTGTAGGAAATCAACGAAAGACTCTGAAAGAGCTTATGAGGATTCCATCTGTTGATATTTACCACTTAGTAAATAAAACAGAGACATCTAAGATGTGCTTGTTAGTTGTTGAATTAAAACTGTACATTTCGCCAGGCGTTGGTGGCGCACGCCTTTAATCCCAGCACTCGGGAGGCAGAGAGAGGCAGGCGGATCTCTGTGAGTTTGAGGCCGGGCTGGACCTATAGCCTCCGAAACAATACAGAGAAACCCTGTCTCGTAAAAACCAAAAAAAAAAAAAAAAAAAAAAAAAAAAAAAGAAAGAAAGAAAGAAAGAAGAAAAAAAAACTGTATATTTCATGTCAGCACAGATAAACATCTTTAATGAAAAAAATCGTTATTTTCCAAAATAAAAATTTTATCCATTGGTAGGAGAAGAATTATCTTTCCTTCTCCCATCACTAGGTTCATGGATGAAGCCTCTGAAATGAAAGACAGAACAAGAGAAAAGCATATGTATCTACTAACTATGATTTTTCTGTTGACCTTTGTAGGGAGGCAAAGACAAGATGATGGGAGCAGTTGTGGTTGGTTTGTTGAAGATGTGGATAGTCACGAACTGGACTAAAAAAATTGATCTGGGGGTAAGCACTGGCTGCTCTCCCAGAGAATTTAGGATCAGTTCCCAGAAGCCATGTGGTGGCTTCTAACCAGCTATAGCTCCAGTTCTAGGGGATTCTGATGCCCTCTTGTGGAATCCGCAGGCACTACATGCATTGCTGCACACACATAAATGAAGGCAAAACACCCCATACATATAAAAGAAAATCAAATAACGTCTGAAAAGAATAAAAAGGATGATCAAAGGTGATGAACAGGTGAGCCTCACATGACCTGTGTGCCTAATGTCTTCCCTGTGTCTTAGACAGCAGGATGCCTTTCCTCTAGGAGTGGACAGGGCCCTTGAGTGAGCTTCTCCATATTCACGGGGACGAATAAGGGAAGCTGGGAGTGACCTTCTCGCTTACAGGTTTTTCTCAAGTGCCTTCTGCTGCATTTTGGGGTGGTGCCTCCTGGACCTCATCAGGTTTGTGTATGTCTTTCATGTGGCCCAACTGAAGAAGTGTAGATTCTCCTATCTGTTCTGTTTTAATAGTTTGTTTTTGGTGCCTGGCTCTGCATAGTTGTGTGTTTGGAAGAACTAGTCTTTCTTGGCCCTTTGAGATAATTATTGTTGTTTTTGTAAAAAAGATAAGGTTTATTTTTCAATCTTAGCACTGTTGCCATTTTGGGCCAGAGCCTTCTTTGCTCTGGGGGTGTGCTGTGGTCTGTGGGTGTTTAGCAGCAGCAGATGCTGTAGTCCCTCCCACTCCACTTGCAATTCTGACAAGTCATCTTTTAATATTGCTGATCCCAGCCCTCATTGCTGGAAACTGACACCCCCAACTTACATGTTGGTTTCTTATACATGATCTCTGAAATCATGTCAGCACACTTTACACAATCTGCCTTATAGGCTGAATATTTGTGTGCCCCCAAAAGTCATATATTAAAACTCAATTTACGCACCTCAGTGGTGCCAGTGTACAAAGACATCAGCAATTTAGGGGTTGACCCTCTCTAGAGGTCTCCCGGTTCTATGCCTCTTCACTCCTTCTTACATCACCGACAGTAAGCCACATCCATCTCCATGTTTCCCCCTGCATACTGCTCTAGATTAGCAAAAACAGAGATTTTTTTCCTTCTCAGGCCAGCAGTTTGCATATCCATGAGGTCAAGAGCCATAGCATGTTCATGTCTGCCATGAATAGAGTTTTGGGTACTTCTGATGGTACATTTTTATTAAATGATCAAACGACTGACAGAGGGGCGTTTCAGTGATGAGGTAGCTATTTCTCTATTATGAAAACTCCCTTAGGCAGGGAGTACATAGATGTGTGTACACCAAGGCTGATGTAGAGATCTGACCACCATACAAATGCATGGGTCTTGAGAGGACATCTTTGTTGAAATCCATTTCAGTCACCCACATTGCTCTAGCAGAGAGCCAGCAGGGCTTGCCAGGGTGAATTGGAGCACAAATCCACAGTATAAGCAGTAAGAGAGACATTTCCCCAAGTTTGTCAGGAAAGGAAGGACCTAGCTTACAGGAGCCTAGGCAGGGGAGGACATCAGTTGGTCTCAGTGAAAAGATTCTTCTAGAATCTTTAGCTTCACTTATCCGGAGTCTTGAACTACACTGGAATAACTTGGTATTGGGTTCGATGGTCCTGGGAAGACCACTGTGTTTGTTGCATAGACATTTGGAATGACCACATCCACCTGAAAGACAAAGGCACACAGCAGATGCACACTTCACTAATTCTAGAGGAATCCTCTGGAGGTTCATTGCTGGAAGACAACACTTCAGCATGGTGTGGCTCAGCTGGTGGGATTTGTAATAGGCGAAGTCTGGGGGATCGTGATTGGGCTGTGATTACTACTTTCATGAATGGGTTTATTCTTGACTCAGGGAGAGAGCTAGGTTTCATGAGAGGATGTTGCAATAAAGCAAGGCTACCCCACATGCTTGAACATTTCTCAGTCAGGCCACTATTCTTTTTCCTTCTCTGCTGTTATAACCCAGAGAAAGCCTCTGCTCAGAAGTTCTCCAGGACAACTTCTTAAAACGTCCTTAAAACCTTCACCTATTTACGGGGGGGGGGGGATGTGTGCTGTTTAGATACTCCAGCCACTAGGTTTGAGAGGCAAGGAAACCTCTTTATTTATAAATTACCCAACCTACTGATAACAGCAGAAAGTAGACTAAGGTCTCCCAGGAATAAAGGTAAATTAAAGACAAACACCAACACTTATAGATTATTTTTCCACTTCATCCTCTTTAGTAGGAACAAAATTCACAGAGACCCTGGTAGTTTTCCATCATCTTGGGGTATATTTCCACCCACAAAGGACTCACATTGTTTTGCTGACAGCAGGTCACTTGGCATCCAAAGTGGGAAGACACACTGGCAATACAGAACTCCAAGAGGCAGAAGATGAGCAGCACACCAGAAATAGCCATACCTGTATTCTAGAATCAGAAGAAATATGAGGGCTAGGACTTTGACAAGACTCTGCAATGGACAATCTGTGTGTCCTTGGCAAAGCCTCTCCCCCTTAGCCTTATGGGTGCAAATGTGTCCCAGGTCTTTGTGAGGCTAAAGTGTGGGTGGAAAATGGCTATTTATCATTTACTGTAGTAGCCTTTATGGGAGGGAGAGTCATTAGTTAAGGAAATGTCAAAAAAGGTTGCATCAGAGGTAATTTTTTAATGAAATAGGTTGAGTAGAGAATACACATGGCCTTGTATGTCAAAGGGATCAGGCTGGATGCCATGCTGAAGAGAGCTTTGAGGAGGACAGGGTGGCAGGGGGTGGGGGGCAGGGACAGAGGAAGGGGCAGGGGCAGGGGCGGGGGCGGGGCAGGGGAGGACTGTTATAGTGACTGAGGTGACAGATGCAGTGGCTAGGATCCACTTTGCAATGGGAAACAAAGTGGGAATCATGGCTGGATTGTGGATTCATTCCCAAAGAAGAACCAACTGGATTCCTTAAGAAACCAGCTGTGAGGTGAAAGAGGGATCATGGTTTCTTCATGGTTTTATCTGCAGCAACTGAAGGATGGAGTTGCCTTATGACATGGAAAAAACAAAAACATGCTATGTGCTGATAGAAAAATCTCTAAGAAAATGGAGGGGATAGATAGTGTAGAAGAGAGAAGGGATGGGGGAGGGCAGAGCGTGGTCTGCTGGGTGAGGCTGTGGTCCATTGGCAGGTTGAGAGGGTATGCCCAAAGCTGCCCATTGAGCTCAGTATCACAACTTCCTGTGACTGCTGAGTACCAGATTAGTGCCGAGGGCCAAACTGAGATGTTTGTTAGTGTAAAAACACAACCTGGATCTCAAAGGGTCATTACTCAAAATGAAAATACCTGGCACTTACTGTGCTTTAACTAAAAGTGGCCCTGACCCTCATGTCTCTATATCCAAGTCCCACATTAGCAAGAATCCTTCTTCTTGGCAATACAAAATCCTACCTGCTCTTTTTACTGCAGTCCTGTGCTGTGGGCTACCGCCTTCTCCCCTCCTCAGCCTATAAGACTGGCCCTCTATTCTATGTGGGCATGAACTATCCCCGAAGTCTCTGCCATGCTGCTGTCTGTCTGTGTGTCTGTGCAATAATCACTCTTCCTAGACTCCTTCATCCTCTGGGACCTGGCACTGAGTGCCCACCAGACTTCTCTCCCTCCCCAAGTTATTACTTTCTTCTTTTAATAGTGTATGCTAATGAAAAATTAATATAAATTAGTTGCAATTTTAATGTGGCAAGGAATTTAAAATCATATATGCAGCCCATAATCTATTTCTATCAGGCGGTGCTAGTTGCTAGTGTAGGTGAGCAGGTGACAGTTGTCCCAGTTGATCCTGCTGTTGTCTAGCTATGCTTGTTCATGTACTACTTTCTGTGGATGCTAAAGGTCTGCTGTATTGTGACAGGAACTGTATGCCCTGCAAAGCCTAAAAGCCCATCTGTCTCTTCAGAAAATGTTTGTTAGGGTTTGGCAATCCTAGACTCACCTTATGATGCTGTTATAGGGCCAATCTTGTGAACATCCTGATATTTGCAAGAAAATGGATGCAATCTTAAGTCATTATGTTAGAAGAAATAAGCAGGATTCAGAGAGACTAATGCTACACATTTTCTTTCATGTGGAACTTAGATTTTATTTTTTTTGTGTGTGTCATAATACTAGAAGGGGGGACCATTGGAAGGAAGGAAAACATCACCAGGAGATGGGCATGGAGCGATGTTTCAATGGTTAACATCTCTAGCTGCTTTTGCTGAGGGCCTGGGTTCAGGTCCCATCACCCACATGGTGGTTATCTATAACTTCAGTTCCAGGGGCTCCAAGGCTCTCTTTTGACCTCCATGGGCACGGACATACACGTGGTACATGGACAAACATGTAGGCAAAACATGTACACACATAGAAAAAATTAAAAAAAAATAAAAAGCAGAGTTGGGATTAACTAGGGGGAGGAAAGTGAACCTACAGGGGGTGGGAGATAGAGGGGGATGGGTAGGGAAGGGAAAAATCGAGAACACAGAGGATGACAGGTGTGTGTAATGATGAAACCTAGCACTTTGGAAACTAGTCTAAAAAACTAAACTTAAAAGTTTTCAAAGGAGGGAAAATGTTTGTTGAACCCTGGTCTCCTTAGCAGGTGGGAAGGCTGAGACTGTGGAGGGCTGCTAATGTGTTGACATCTGGTGTTTTATGCATCATCATGTTGAATTTTTCCAATGCTACAAGGCAGGTACTGTTTTACAGAGACAATAAAAGCTGGTGAAGGGCTACAGCTGAGGACTTTAAACCCTGTCCTGACACTAAAAGAACTTCCTTTTCTTCCAGTGCTCAACGGGAAGGCTCGGTTGCCAGGGCCTTTCTGACATAGTCTGAACATAGCTAAGTGAAGGCAGAGATCTTTGGTTGTGGATACTTACCCAGTTGTCATAGTAAGGGTAGTCACTGTGGTGAACATTTGCTCCTGAGACACTCATATCTGTGATGAAGAGTATGACGCCCACTGCAGAACAGATGGCGCTGAAGATGTTCAAGCCTACACTGCCATTCATCTGGAGAAGGCGCACAGGGTCAAGAAGGGAGAGGAAGCTGAGTATAGCGGAGACAAGCAGATTCAGCAAACACCCCTCCCCCATTTGTACTGTGTTAAGTTAGACCACATATGATCTTTTCCATCATAATAATTTATAAAAGACATAGTTCAATGGTATGAAGCACTTTATACATCTGGACCATGTATGGGAAGTGTGTCTAGATATGTTTTACTTCTGTTTCTGGGTATTTTCCAATAGAGCTCATCTGATTGTAGGATCTTGATCACTAGGAGACAGTTACTCTGGGCAACCTGCTCATCAAGGAAGCAGAGCTATTATACTGGCCCATTGTTAGGGAAGCACAAAAAACCCTTTCCACGTGTTTCTTCAGAGTTTAGTTTCTGGATTTCTTTGTGAAGCAGGTGCTGGGACCTTTACTGGCCCCTGCAGGAATGGCTGGAAGCCTGCTCTATATGCTATGGACATACTCTGTGTAGTGTGTTCTCAGGAGCTTCGTGTCTTCTCCTGTGAAGGTCTCCGATGTAAGGTAGTCCTGTCTCCCTCTGTCCTTCTTCCAATCCTGACTCCTTAACAGTGGTAGCAGCATTTTCCTTCCCTCTCTGAGCTGTGCATGTCCGTGTCTCTGGCTGTATGCTAGAGTTAGCGTGCATGTGAGTGCCCTAGGTCTGGTCTTGGTGGTTCGAGAGTAAGGAAAGGATTGCTTGTCAGTCTTATTCCTCACTGTGACCCTGTAGGTTCCCAGGTGGGACAGACGTCCTCAGGATGTGACTTACCAGACAAGGTGAATTAGGCTGATTTTCTGCCGCCACTGAGAGAGATCCTGAAATGATAAACTTGTACACAAGATTGGGAGTTTACCAAGGGTTAGGCGTCAGCACACCCTTCCTTAGGAATCTGATTTGGAGAGCAGACAGTCTCTCACAGAGTTACTTATGGGTATCCCAGCTCTACAATGGTAGAAAATGTGTGTGCTGACTTGCTAAGTGGCAATGATGGAATAATCAGGGCTTTAGGATTCACCAGAATAGGTTTCAAAGTCTAGTTTGAAATTTAAGTGATCTTTGGTGAATTAATAATCCCTCTAAGTCTTCATTTCCTCATCTGAGAAAATGTGGGCATTCATATCAGGTATCATTGTTATAACTTATGCCTCATATTTACTGTGTCTTGTTCATAGTACTCAACTGATATTACCCCGTTTCCTACTGTTTGTTTACACATGTTCATCATCTAATACTTGTCAGGCTTTATATTAGGACTCATGAGGTGAGGGCCTCTAGAGGGAAGTGGGAGAGGGTGCTGACTCCTCCGCATGTTCTGATACGAGTTCAGAATTAGCTCTCTCGGTTGCATGCCTGAATGGGTTCAGTTGCTTAGATAGTGAATGCGAGTCTCATCATACAAAGGGTGAATTTCTTGCCAATACCCGTGCTCTCCAGGCGATGTGGCTGAGGGGTCACCTGCTATTGTTAGCCCAGTGTGATAACAGTGGTGGTCTAAGAGGACAGCAACTAAGATTTCATAAAATCTGCTATCTACTGACTTCTGCTTGAGGTGCTTTAAGAAAAGGTGCTGCTGAGAGGAAATTCACATGCCTTACCATTCATTAACTGAAAGCGCGCAGTCCCAGTATTTTTTATTGTATTTATAGTTGTATAATCTAAGTCTAGAACATTTTCATCATCCCCTACTCAGTAGTAATCTTGTCCACATCTTCCTTTGTCCACCCATGTGCAGTGTTTCTCTTAAACCTGAGTACTAGTCCACCTAACACTATTGTTATTTCCCTTTTAAAGATGGTCAAAATCTGGGTGTAGATGTATCATTTTCTTCAGTAGTGTAGCCCCTAGTAAGTTGCCATGCTCCGGTAAATGCCCCCTCACCCATGCTCATACAAGCAACCCTAGTTTAAACTCGGTGGGTCAGAAGAAAAAAACACCATGAAAGTAGGAGGTGGACTAGTTGGGGAAAAGTGGGGGTCAGTAGGAGTGGGAAGAGGGATAAAAGAGGGTAATGGGGGTGAATGTGATATGAACATATTTATAAATTTTTAAAAATGAATAAAGTAACTTTGAAAATATGGGCAGAATGAGGCTTATGGATTTTAAACAATTTACTCAAGATCATCAAGCAAATAGCAAAGCTTGAGATCAAACCCAGTAGCTTGACTTCAGACTTAATCTCTTACCCTTCTTCCTGTATCCCCATTTGGGGCGGATGCATAGTTACCTACAATGAAAATGTATTTGATCTGCTTCTCTTCCAAGGAAAATGTCCTATTTTTTTTCTGTCATTGGAGAAACAAGTCTCAATTTCACAGCTTTTCCCTTATAGAAATGTGTTAGGAAGTAAGAGAAGAAGGTTGGGCTTTCATGTTCTTGTTAGTCCTCTGGAGGCGCCAAAGGAGACGTTCCTTTGCTCTGGAGGAGGGCATAAGTAATAGATGGGAAGCAGAAAGACAGACCTGGAGTTAAGAAAGTGACAAGGGACAGCAACAAACAATGGCAACAACAAAACGCCCAAAGACAGAGGGAAGAAAGCTCTGACCTGAAGGGCCACCAGGGCATTTGGGATGTCAGGACACCTCCTGGTGTTCACAAACACTCAGGGGAATCTCACATGACACAGAAAGCCAGTGAGTAGCAGTGACAATATTAGATGTTTCAACACAGGTCTATCCACAAGCACAGACATCATTGGAAGATTGGGGGAGCAGAGAGGGCTCAGCTCCAAGTCTGGATCAGTTCAGAGTTCAAGGAACACGCAGCCTAGGAAGATGAGTCATGAACAAGAGGAGTCATGAGTGTGTGTCAGAACAGGAAGGGACAGGATGTATCTCCAAAGGGTACATCCTTATGACTCTGTGAGCTTGTGAAGCTGTGGCGGATGGCAGAGTGCCAACCTGTTTTATTATTTTATGGGAAAGGTTGGCGTTGGTTGACTTCTAAGATCACTCTGGAGTTTGGATATTTATGGGAAAACGAGTATTGAGCCACAGGTAGGTGAGGGAAAAACAAAAGGCTGCTGGAGAGGGTCAGAGCAGGGTGTGTGTGTGCACTGGGGAGGTACCAGGAAAAAATGAGAGAGTCCAAAGGCAATAAACTAGCATGGAGGAAGAACTGTAGCACTTTTGTGGAGTCACAGATCGCATGGGCCTTTTCAGAAAGAGAATGCAAGGCTATCTTGCTAGAAATTCCACTGAAATGGCCTCTGAGCCCATCTGTGGACAGCGAGTTAGACATCTCCACTGCTGGGTCACAAACTCTAATGACTATTGAGCAAAAGCAAAGCAAAGCAAAACAAAACAAAACAAAAACAGAAAAAAACAAAAAACAAGCCAAAAGTGCTTCTTGAGCTTAGTCTTCTGGGTGTTTCTTGAACAATGCCTGAAAGCCTAGCCCCAGCATCATTTTCTTTGTGAGTTAAATGCTGTCTTTTTGGGTTGATGATCTTGGTCTTTGATGGGTACAACTTTGTAGGGCTATTGCTGATTTGTGACCCTCAGTTTCATATTTTCAAAGACCTAGCTCCAGAGCCTCAGAATGTGACTATAGGTAAGGTTTTACTATGTCTCCCTGACTGATCAGGAGCTCACTATGTAGACCAGACTAGCCTTGAACTCAAAGAGATCTTCCAGCTTCTACCTCCAGAGTACTGGGATTAAAGGTGTGTTTTATTTGCCCTGCCATTAACATTCTTATAAGAGCAGGTGAGCAATAAACATGGGTGGACTAGAAACTGTCATGTTAAGTGAAATAAGCCAGAATATAAAAGATGAATACCACATGATTCCTCTTATAGGCAGATTGTAGTGTGCGTGTGCATGTGTGTGTGTGTGTGTGTGTTTTGTTATGAAAGGGTACAAAAAGATCATAAGGTTGATGGTAAATAAGAGTGGCAGAATACATTGACTATGAAAGCAGAAGGGGAGTGTGATGAATTGTCAACCTGATCATCTGGGAAGACAGTCTGTCTCACTGAGGGATTGTCTACATTTGTTTGGCCTGTGATCATGCTTGGCGAGGATTATCTTAATTAAGTTAATTGATAAGGGGGAGACCAAAGTCACTGTGGGCAGCCCCGTTCCTTAGGCAGGGATTCCTGACTGTGTAGGAGCTGAGAACTTGAGTTGAACCCAAGCAAGCATGTAGAGTGAGCATTTGTGCGTTTACTTCTCTTTGTTCTTGACTATAGCTATGATGTGACTAGCTGTTTCAAGTTCCCAACACCCCGACTTCTTTACTGTAGCCTGGAATCATATGCTAAAGCAAATCCTTATCCCCCCATGTTGTTTTGTCAGGGTAGTTTATCTAAGCAATAGAAATGAACTAAAACAGGGAGGTATTAGGGGAAAGAAGGGGTCAAGTGGGAGAGGAGCAGGGGAGCAAGGGAGGGGTGGCAGGGAGAAGAGAAGTAGGAACAAAATAGGAGTGAAAGTGCCATAATAAAACCATTACTTTGTATACTAATTTAAAACACTACCACCATTACCACCACCACCATCAACACTGTCATCCCCACCCCTCACCACCACCCCCACCCCCACCCTTCACCCCCACCACCAACACTATCATCCCTACCCCTCACCACCACCACCACCCCCACCCCTCACCACCACCATCAACACTGTCATCCCCACCCCTCACCACCACCACCCCCACCCCTCACCACCACCACCCCCACTCCTCACCACCACCACCAACACTGTCATCCCCACCCCTCACCACCACCACCCCCACCCCTCACCACCACCACCATCCCCACTCCTCACCACCACCACCAACACTGTCACCCCCACCGCTCCCACTACTCCCACCACCAAGGATAACACCACCACCGCCACCACCAGCAACAACAACAACAATAACAGCAACAAAACTACCACCAGCAGCAGCGGCAGCAACAACAACAACAACAACAATGAGGTTGGGACACAAGACAGGCACAAAGGGAAGACATCAGCGGAAGATGGCTAGCTGTAAGGTTAGGCGAGACTGCAGTGTCGATTACCAGCTGACATTCTGGTCTTGGATTTCTGGCCTTCAGAACAGGGAGGTAACATACTTCTATGGTTTGGAGCTACCCAACCTATGGTACTTTGCTACAGTCCATCCCAATCCCTATGTAAACTAAGATATTTGAGCAAGAACCCCCATATTCTCAAACAGCTTGACTAGGCTTCTCTGAGTATCAGACTAGAGCTACTCACCCAGATGGCTCCCCAGAAGGGGAAGCCTCCATACAGGGAGACAGGTACATAGTACCCGAAGAGGTTGGTTAACATGATGGAGCCCATGCCAATGTGCACCAAGCCAATCAGGATCTGGATGGCCTGTCAGGAGAGCCACAGCTGAAGTCTTTGTCTCTAAGCCCTGATCCTGCCTTTCCTTCTACTTTCTTTATATTTAACTACTCACTTGGTTTCCCTGGTCTAAAAGATAATGTGAGAAGCATATTAATAAAATCAACACTATTTATAATTAAATCCTCCTGGAGAAAGCAAGAATTTACATTTCATTATAACCTCTTATTGTTCTTTTTCAAACTTGTTATCTTGGTAACATAGAAACAGTGTCTCTGCACTTTATTAATTTATTTCTTCATTGTGAGCACAACCTCCCATTGTTAAATTTTCTTTGTGTGTATGTGTGTTTGTACATGTTTATATGTGTATGTGCATTCTTGTGTGTGCATATGTGCATGGATGTGTGAGTGTGTGTGAATGGAAGCTAGAGATTGACATCAGGTGTTTTTATCAGTCATTCTTAATCTTATTTTTCTGAGACAGAGTCTCTCACCAAATCTGGAGCTTACCAACTGGCTAACATGGCTGGCCAGCAATCTCTAGGGAGCCTCTTGTCTCTACCTCCCCAAGTATTGGTATTATAGGCTCATGCTTTTGTACCTAGCTTTTACATGGTTACTTTGGATCACTTCAGGTTCCTACACTAGCATGGCAAGCACTTTGCTATCTGAACCACTTTCATACTCATTAGATATTAAAAAAATATTCTCTGAGGACTTCCTAGAGTCTCTGGGGGCAGTTGTAACAACTTGGACAGGTAAGATGACCTTTAGTTTTCTTTTGTATTATACACAGCCTCATGTTCAGCATCCTTGTATGTGACTTTTTGGCCTTCATTTTTTTTCCTTGTCTCATAGATTCAATTTTGTCCTTTTGTACCAAATTCATGTACTGAGGTTCTAGTTTCCTTGACTGTGTATAACCTTATGTAAATATAGGAATGTTGCTGATGTCATGCTGGAATAGGGTGAGTTCCAATTCAATATTTCAAGTGTTATTACTTAAAAAAATGTGAAAATCTAGGATTACTTCAAAAACCAAAATAAAACAAAACAGCCATGTAAGAATTGGAGTGATGCTGCAACAAGCCAAGGAGATACTAGAACCTAGGAGGAAGTTCTGGAAGAGATAATTTCTTCATGCCTCCAGAGGGAGTATGACCCTGACAGACTTTGAGTTTAGATATATATATTCTCCAGAAACGTTAGATAATGCATTTATGTTGTTTTTGGTCATTAGTTCATGGTGCTTTATTATAGCAGTCATAAGAAGCTAATACAGATACGGTCTTGTGTGTGTGTGTGTGTGTGTGTATTCCCTTAAGCTCATATTAATGTTACATTAATAACACATCTCAGAGTAATACCCAATCATTACACAAAGAGCTTCCTCATTCTCTTCATAGTTCCGTAACATTCTGTTTGTTGTAAGTACAACACAGTGGCTTAACCAATGTTAAATTGATGGACAGTATACCGACTGCTTAGTTTCAACTGTCAACTTGACACAACATAGAGTCACCTGGGAAGACAGTATTAATGAGGAATTGTCTAGATTAGGTTAGACTGTGAGAATTTCTGTGGGGCATTGTCTCCATTGCTCATTCATGTAGGAAGATCCAGTCCATCGTGGGCAGCACTATTCCCTAGACAGGGGCCCTGAACTATATAGGATCGGAGAAAGCTATATGAGTGTAAGAAGGCAGCATAGACGTGTCAGTTTGCCTGTGTTCTTGCTGTGGATGTAAGCTGCTTCAAACTCCTGTTTGACTTCCCTGGCAACCTGGAACTGTAAGTCAAACAAACATCTTCTTCCCATCTCTTGCTTTTCATCAGAGTACTTTGCAACAGTAACAGAAACAAAACTTGAACAGATAGTTCAGTTGCTTCCATCCTGTCTCTACAAGCCATACTGCAACAAATAAACTTATAGTTACTACAGCTTTTGCGAATATTGGCATATTTGGAGGCTAAAGTCTCAGAAACAGATCACTGGATGCTTTTTTAAAATGCAAGTTGCCTTTTTCTTTTTTTAAAATTTAAGTTAGAAACAAGCTTGCTTCACATGTCAATCCCAGCTCCTTCTTCCTCCCCTCCTCTCTGCCCTCCACACCAGGTCCCCCAGAGACTCCCATACAATCTCCACTCCGATCCCCAGGGAGGGTGAGGCCCCCCATGGTGGATCTCCAGAGTATGTCATTTCATCCAGGGCAGGGCCTAGGCCCTCCCACAAGAGTCTAGGTTGAGAGAACATCCCTCATTGTGGGATGGGCACTCAAAGTCTATTTGTATGCCAGGGATAAATACTACCCAAGGCCCCATAGATTACCTAGGCCTCCTCACTGACACCCACATTCAGGGGGTCTGAGTCAGTCCCATGCTTTCCACACAGCCATCAATCTGGGGTTCAAGAGCTCCCCCTTGTTCAGGTCAACTGTTTCTGTGGGTTAGACTTCTCCAAGAAAGATTAGAGAGCTGGGATTGAAATGGGCTCTGGATCAGACACAATGCTTGTCACCATGGATTATGCAGTAAAATGGGCTCCCTTGTGCCATTTCAGGCATTGCTGCTGGTCTAGCCTGCTTGCCTTCTTTCTACTTTGGGCAAAGACTTGATTTAATAACTGTGGATTTCATTCCACTTTTGGGAAACTTTGCCATTGTTGGATTTTCTTACTTCCTAAGCAATAGGAAGCACATGCATAGAGGCAAAAGGACCCACATTCAAGATCACTGCTTTTTGGCTATTTTTTAAAATTCTTTGCTACTAAATGCCCAAATCAGAAACTACAAGGCCGTATGCTGAGGCTCCTTGTGATAAAGAGATTTCCAACAGACCTGGGTTTGGTTAAGCCAGCCTCACCTACTTTATTTGAAGTTTCTTTTCTTTCTTTTTGTTTGTATTTAAGTACCTATGTATGTATGTATGTATGCATGCATATATGTATATATGTGTGCACACGTGTGTTTATATGTGTGTGTGTTCATGCAGGAGGGTGAGCATGTGGTCCTTGGACACTGTGCATCTTTTGTGTTGATGTGTGTGCATGTGTGATGATATGTATGATGAGACTGACATCTACCTTGGGTATCATTCCCCAGGATCCATTTATATTTTTTTCTTTGAGACAGGGTCTCTCACTAGCCTGGAACTCACCATGTAAGCTGGGCTGGCTGGCCAGAGAGCTTCAGGGACCTACCTGTCTTTGCCTTCCTGGTTCTGGAATGACAGTGTGCTTTCCCATAGCCATTTTATGTAAGGTGAGTTCTGGGGATGGTACTCAGCTTGGCAGCACTTTACTGAGCACTTTCCTAACTGAGTTTTCCTGTTCTGCTGTTCCTTGTTTAGAAGTTCTATTCATCTATCTCAAACCTCCGCTTTCCTCTGTCTGTAGCATGGCCTAGGGCTCACAAAGTGAACTTTTACTTACCCCTAGGACTTTGCCATTTTTCAAGACTTTCTGGGTTGGCACGGAAACAGGTAGGTTCCCAGGAATTACGTGGATTTGAGTCTGGTTGTTTGGATATAGAGGCACTTGAGGCATGCTTTCTGGGACTACAGGATAACCATTGGGGGGTGCCACCACATATACAGAATTGGCCCTGAGGCCTGGTGAAGGCACTGAAGTCATTCTGATAAAAAAATAAGTACAATAGAATCACTCATCATTTATATACTTGTATTTACAATAAATAGACTTCAAGAGGCTGGGGAGATAGCTTGATCAGTAGCTACTTACTGCACAAACATGGGGATATGGGCTTGAATGTCCAGCACCTTTGTAAAAAGTCAAGCACAGGACCTTGAGATGACTTAGCAGGTGAAGGCACTTGCTGCCTGATGACCTGAGTTTGATCCCTGGGACTCAAATGGTGGAAAGAGAACTGATACCCTAGAGTTTTCCTCTGACCTCCAAGCACATTTAGTGGCACATGTGTGGCCATACACAGTAAGCAATAAAATTTATTAACAATAATTCATAAAAGCAACTTTATTGCCAAGTACACCTGCAGGTCAGGAGCGACAGGGGATCTGTAGGCCTAGCTGATGGCTAGTTTAAAAGATAGGATGGAGAGCAAGTGAGGAAGATACCCTACATAGACCTGTGGCCTCCATACATAAAGGGACACACACGTGCTTGGGCACATAGGACAGTTAACACTTTAAAATAACTAAGAATGAAGTTGGGTGTGGTGGTGCATACCTTTAATCCCTCGGGAGGCACAGGCAGGCAGATTTATGTGAGTTTGAGGCCCGCCTGGTCTACAGAGTGAGTTGCCAGGGCAGCCGGACTACATAGAGAAACCGGTCTCAAAAAAACCAAAGCAAAATACAAAACAAAAAACAAAACAAAACAAAAAAACAAAAACCAACCAACCAAGCAACCAAACAACAACAACAACACCCAACTGAGAATGACTTTTTCTTGAGCAATTCAACCTGTATACTTGCTAATCCCACTTTAGAGATATTGTTAAAACTTAGAGGGCTAGTTGAGCCTGCTAGGCAGCCAATATTTTACAAAGGCACTTCTTTCAATCTAAACTTCAGTACCACAGACTAATAAAGCAAGACCCAGAGAGTTTAGGTGAACCCGGAAGACAGGCTGTGTGCCTTTTCTCTGTTTGCATGTTTCTTAGTGTTTTGATCCTGGTTTGCATACTTTGGAATTACCTGATCCTAATTGCCACAGTGGAAAGACTCTTGGGGAACAATGAGTTCAATTCTCTTATATTTTGGAAAAGAAACTTGGAGTGGGACTTCTCCAGTGTATTGTACATATTAGAAAAATGGAGGGCTTTGTGTTCTAGAAAAGTCCATTATCAGTGTAAAGTGTGTGTGTGTGTGTGTGTGTGTGTAAAATGACCTGTTCAATTTTCTAGGGCCATTAAAGAAGTAACATTTATTTGTTTATCTGCTTTTATTTATGTGTGTGTGTGTGTGTGTAAAGTGACCTGCTCAATTTTCTAGGGCCATTAAAGAAGTAACATTTATTTGTTTATCTGCTTTTATTTGTGTGTGTGTGTCTGTGTGTGTGTGTGTGTGTGTGTGTGTGTGTGTAAAATGACCTATTCAATTTTCTAGGGCCATTAAAGAAGTAACATTCATTTGTTTATCTGCTTTTATTTGTGTGTGTGTGTGTGTGTGTGTTACATGTCACACACTTGGAGGTCAGGGAATAACTGGTGGGAGTTGATTCTTTCCTGTCACCCTGTGGGTCCTAGATCTCAAGCTTGGGTCATTAGTCTTGGCTGAAATAAACTTTACCCACTGAGTTTGTATGCCTTTAAACTTTGCTTTCCTTTTTTCATCCTAGTTCTGGAGCAGACACAATGAACTGAGTACAGTACAGCCTCCTAGTGTTTTCCATCCACTCACATTCCCCACGTCTCGTTTGACACAAACCCCTTACCTCCGTCCCTGAGCCATACCAATACTTGATCATGTGCTCCCACCTTACCGTGCCTGCTGCCAAGGAAGCTCTCCTGCTCCTGCTTCCAACTCTCTGTGCCAAGGAAGCTCTCCTGCTCCTGCTTCTAACTCTCTGCTGTGCAAAATGTACGTTTTAGAGAATGACTGCGGCCTGTCCAGTTGGGTAAATGATCCAAAGTCCTCTCTACTTCCTTCCTGGTTGATGCTGTTCAGAGCTTCCACACCCACATTTGCTTCCTGCTTGAGTCACTGAATCAGTCAAATACAGTTCTATTTGTCAAGGGTTTCATGGGTGTCTGAATGGAGAGATGAGGTTGTGCTGGGTGCTCTGGGAGACAAAAGAATGCCTTGAACACTCAGGGCTTGATGTACTGAGCTGAAATAGAGGTAGGATGACATCAATTTTACAGCAAAGAGATAAGTGATCCCAGGAGAACACACAGAGGAATGGTTGATTGGCATTGGAGTGCTTAGATATTTGAAATCATTGAACTGCAATGAGAAAAGTTGGAACCAGAAGGTAAAATGAGATCTATACTTAACTCCCATATTTACTATAAATTTTTTTTATTTATTTTATAAGTATGAGTGTTTTGCCTTTATGTATGTTTGTCTACTATGTGTGTGCAATGACTACAGAGTCCAGAAGAATGATGCTGGATCTGCTGGCTGTTACAGTGGTTGTGAACCACCATATAGATGCTGAGAATTCCTACTGGCAGTAAAATCTCACTGACTGAGCACATGGAGATGAGGGGATGGCTGGGACTTTGTAAGTTGGCCAGATGAAACAACATTATAGGTAGAGGCTATGGAAAGGGACAAAGCCAAGGAGAGAGGAGAGCACAGGACAAGTTTTGGGCAGGCACATTGAAAATAAAAAGGATTTTAGAGGAATCACCTTTAGTTTCGCTCCATTTAATTTGATGCTGGCTGTTGGTTTGCTGTATATAGCTTTTATTATGTTTAGGTATGTTCCTGTTATCCCAGATCTCTTCAAGACCTTTACCATGAAGGGGTGTTAGATTTTGTCAAAGGCTTTTTCAGCATCTAGTGAGATGATCATGTGGTTTTTCCTTTTCTCTAGTTTATCTTCAATGCATGAGATTCTGTCTTCCATCTCTTGTATTCTGTTAGTTATGCTTGCATCTGTAGTTCCTGATTGTTTATTCAGCCTTTCGATTTCCAGCATTACCTCAGTTTGTGTTTTTCTTATTGTCTCCATTTTGGTTTTCAGGTCTTGAACTGTTTGAATTATTTTCTTCATCTGTTTGATTGTTTTTTCTTGGCTTTCCTTGCTTTCTTTAAGAGATTTGTTGATTTCTTGCATTTTTGGTTTGTGTTTTGTTCCATTTCTTTAAGGGATTTTCTCATATCCTCTTTGAGGGCCTCTGTCACTTTTCTGTTTCATCTGTGTTGGTATGTTCAGGTCTTGCTGGTGTAGAGTTTCTAGACTCTGGTGGTGTCATTCTGGCTCCTCTGTTATTGGTTGTGTTTTTATATTGCCTTCTTCCTATCCTTTCTTTCAGTGGGAGCTCGTGGGGCCTCTTCCTCTCCTTAAGCACCGGGCAAGGACTGGAAGGCACTGAACTGAGGTGTGGGCAGACTCAGGGTGATCCTTCATGGTGGGGCAGGCCCTTTTGAGGTACAGAAAATGCATAGGGAGATGGAGCAGGGTGTGGAGGGAGTTGTGGCCAGCGAGCCAGATACAGAGGAAGAAGTAAAAGTAGGACATACAGAATGAAAGAAGCTCTGAGGCAAAACATAGATGAAGAGAAACAGATTAAATTAAATTATAAGAGCTAGTGGGGCAAGCATAAACCAAGGCCAAGCATTCATAACTAATAATAATAAGTCTCTGTGTCTTTATTTGGGAGCTGGTTGGCAGCCCAGGGAAAGCCTGTTATATCTATGCACACACATAGGTTGGAATATGGTCTTTCTGTAGACAATACACTTTAATCTAGGCAGGATTCTGGAGGGTTCTAGGGGTAAGCAATTGTTAGTGGCACTGGTGGCATTTCTGGCTACTTGCAGCATATTGGTACTGCTCCACCACTGCAGCATTTTGATGAAATGCGTCGTCATGCTTTGTTCCACATGCTGCTGTGGTCCTCAGGAAACGCAAGGCTTCTGGGTTCATCTCCCACCAGTGTTCCATAGTGGGGCCTGAAGGCAGGAGGGAGGTTTTCCTTTCTTTTTTTATTTAATACATATTTAATTAGAAACAACCTTGCTTCACATGCCAATCCCAGTTCCCTCTCCCTCCCCTCCTCCTGCATCCCCCAGCAGCCCCCTCCCCAGCCTCCCACCCTATCCCCACTCCCTTCCCCATAGGGGATCTCCAGAGTCTGTTATTTCATTCAGGGCAGGGCCTAGGCCCTCCCCCCAAGAGTCCAGGCTTAGACAGCATCCCTCTTTGTGGTATGGACACTCAAAATTCATTTATATGCCAGGGATAAATACTGATCTACTGCCCAGGGCCCCATAGATTGTCCAGGCCTCTTCACTAACACCCACATTCAGGGGGTCTGGATCAGTCCCATTCTGGCCTCCCAGATGTTGGTCTGAGGTCCATGAGCTCTCCCTTGTTCAGGTCAGCTGTTTTTGTTGGTTTTAACAGCGCATTCTTTACCCCTTTGCTCATCACTCCTCCCTCTCTGTCACTGGTTTCCAGGGGTTCAGTTCAGTGTTTAGCTGTGGGTGTTTGCCTCTTCCTCCATCAGTCACTGGATGAAGGTTCTAGGATGGCATATAAGGTAGTCGTCAAACTCATTATCAGGGAAGGGCATTTAAGGTAGCCTCTCCCCTATTTCTTAGTTTGCCAGTTGATGTCATTCTTGTAGATCCCTAGAGATCTCATTGGTGCCAGATCTCTCTTCAAACCTATAATGACTCCCTCTATTATGGTATTTCTCATCCTGTTTTCCCCTATTTTTCCTCAACTTAGCCATCTTGCTCCCTCCTGACCTCCTCTCTCCTTCTCTTCTCTCCCTTTCTTTTTCCCAGATCCCAGTCCCCTCCCCTCCTGCTCCCAATCTGCTCAGGAGAACTTACCTCATTTCCCTCTCTTAGGTTCTTTCCTGTTTCCCAGACTCACTGGCCCTGGGGTTGTAGGCTGGCACTCCCTTATTCATGTCTAAAATCCATAAATGAGTGAGTACATACCATGTTTGTCTTTTTGTGACTTTGTTACCTCACTCAGGATGGTTTCTTCTAGTGCCATGGGATGCCCAGGTGAGAAGGTCATCTCCCTTTGTAAACACCTGCTCCTCCGGAGCAAACATGATGCAGCTTGGAGTGAAAAGGTGCCTAGTTTTGCTTCCAAGAGCTCTCTGGTGAAGTGCCACAGACTGAGTGACTAAGAACAATGGAAATTCTCACTGTTCTAGATCAAGATGTTATCTGTATCAGGTTCCCTCTGGGCACTGTTACAGGGGAGTTCTGAAGGCCACATGCATCCCAGGATAGCTATGAACTTGACCCAATGTATTTGTAGCTGACAATGCCATGTTGCAATTTTCAAAAGTTAAATACTCTGCTAGGATGTCCCTTTCTACTCTTCTTCCTGGCTTCTGATGGTTTTCTACTGATCTTGACATTTGTCAACTAGTAGAAGCATCATTCACTCTTCCCTTTCCACAGTCCTCTCGAAGGTGTTTCCCCATCATCTCCCTTCTCTGCTTGCTTGACTCTGTCCAAATCCCCACTTTTAAAAGAGAACTTGCTGCAATGACTTAGGCCTTACTATTATGAAATTTTTACTTCATTTCCTTCTTTTTTTGTGGTTTTTCAAGACATGTTTTCTCTGTGAAACAGCCTTGGCTATCATGGAATTCCCCTTTCAGACTAGGTCAGCCTTGAACTTACAGAGATTTGCCTGCCTCTGCTTCCTGAGTGCTGGGATTAAAGGCATGGGCCACCACTACCCAGCTAAGACTTTATTTTTATTAAAGTTATTTATTTGTTGGGCATGGTGATACATGCCTTCAATCCCAGTCCTGGTAAGGCAGAAGCAGGTGGATCTCTGTGAATATAAGGCCAGCCTGCTCTACATGCTGAGTTCTAGGCCAGCTAGGACTACATAGTGAGACTTTGTCTGAAAAACAAAACAAAATTTTTCTGTGTTTATACATTCATGTGCGTGCTACTGTACACATGCGGAAGTCAGAGGACAACTTGTTCTTTCATTCTGCCATGTGGGTTCCAAAGATCAAGCTCAGATAGTCAGACTTGGCATCAGGCACCTTGATCTGCAGAGCCATCTTGATGGGCCCAGACTTTATTTCTAAATAAGGCCATATTCTGAGGTATCTGGTGCTAAAACTTCAACATCTATTTTCTTTTTATTGGGGGACACAAAGCCATCATAATCTCTCACAGAAAGCTATCAGGAACTTTTTTGTGGGCTTAAAAAATACTAAATATGATCACACCTCTAGCTTTCAGAGATGGACTCTGGACACCAGTATTAGGAAATAGGAACCATTTCTTCTGGTTTCCCGAATCACCATGGTTGTTACAATAATGAGAGCTAATGAATAATGTCTAAGTTATTTTAATGACATTATGTAGCTCTCCCTTCTACTGTATGGGCTAGGGACCACTCTACTTTATAGGTGAGGCAGCAGTAGTGTAGAGAAACTAGAGCCTTACTTTCTGCTACACCAGCATTATGCCCCTTCCAAAGGTAGAGTTTTCTTCTCTGCGATGAAAGGGTCTCTTCCTTCATAATGTTTTCCACCAACTGAGATAAAATCAGTAGTCACCTCTACTTCCCTTCATGCTCCAAATTTTAGGTGTAGAGGAGGTTGGTAACCTCCAGTGGGTGTGCGATTTGAGTAAGAATGGCCTCCATAGGGTCATATATTGAATGCTTAGGGAGTGACACTATTTGAACAGACCAGGAAGTGCAGTCTTGTTGGAGGAAGAGTATCACTGGGGGTGGGCTTTGAGGTTTCAAAAGCCAAAGTCTGGCCCAGTGTGTAAGGATTCAGGCATTATACTGGCTTGACCCTGTCACCTGGCAGAATACACTCAGACAGTACCCTGGTCAGCCCAGGGTTCCATGACTACTAGTCTGGTCACAGGTGCAAAGGATCCCTTTAAAAGAAAGACCCCACCCACTTACACTCTCTTTCCCTCTCTCTTTTCTGCTGTTTCCCTGGGC